GGCATCGATGGTTCACTGGACATGAAGAATAGGAATGGTGGCATCGATGGTTCACTGGACATGAAGAATAGGAATGGTGGCATCGATGGTTCAATGGACACCAAGACTAAGACTAAGAATGGTGGCATTGATGGTTCACTAGACATGAAGAATAGGAATGGTAACATAGATGGTCCAATGGACATCACAAGTAGGAATGGTACCATTGAAGGTTCAATGGACACCAAGGGTAGGAATGGTGGTATCGATGGTTCAATGGACACCAAGACTAAGAATGGTGGCATCGATGGTTCAATGGACCCCAAAACTAAGAATGGTGGCATTGATGGTTCAATGGATACCAAGACTAAGACTAAGAATGGTGGCATTGATGGTTCAATGGACACCAAGACTAGGAATGGTGGCATCGATGGTTTACTAGACATGAAGAATATGAATGGTAACATCGATGGTTCAATAGAAACCAAGGGTAGGAATTGTGGCATTGATGGTTCAATGGACACTAATGGGAGAATTGGGGGCATTGATGGTTCAATGGACACCAAGAGTAAGAATGGTGGCATCGATGGTTCAATGGACACCAAAACTAGGAATGGTAACATCAATGGTTCAATGGACATCACAAGTAGGAATGGTACCATTGAAGGTTCATTGGACACCAAGGGTAAGAATGGTGGCATCAATGGTTCAATGGACACCAAGACTAAGAATGGTGGCATCGATGGTTCAATGGACACCAAGACTAAAACTAAGAATGGTGGCATCGATGGTTTACTAGACATGAAGAATACGAATGGTAACATCGATGATTCAATAGACTCCAAGGGTAGGAATTGTGGCATCGATGGTTCAATGGACACAAAAACTAGGAATGGTGGCATCGATGGTTCAATAGAAACCAAGGGTAGGAATTGTGGCATTGATGGTTCAATGGACACTAATGGGAGAATTGGGGGCATTGATGGTTCAATGGACACCAAGGGTAAGAATGGTGGCATCGATGGTTCAATGGACACCAAAACTAGGAATGGTAACATCAATGGTTCAATGGACATCACAAGTAGGAATGGTACCATTGAAGGTTCATTGGACACCAAGGGTAAGAATGGTGGCATCAATGGTTCAATGGACACCAAGACTAAGAATGGTGGCATCGATGGTTCAATGGACACCAAGACTAAAACTAAGAATGGTGGCATCGATGGTTTACTAGACATGAAGAATACGAATGGTAACATCGATGATTCAATAGACTCCAAGGGTAGGAATTGTGGCATCGATGGTTCAATGGACACAAAAACTAGGAATGGTGGCATCGATGGTTCAATAGAAACCAAGGGTAGGAATTGTGGCATTGATGGTTCAATGGACACTAATGGGAGAATTGGGGGCATTGATGGTTCAATGGACACCAAGGGTTGGAATGGTGACATCAATGGTTCAATGGACATCACAAGTAGGAATGGTATCATTGATGGTTCAATGGACACCAAGGGTAAGAATGGTGGCATCGATGGTTCAATGGACACCAAAACTAGGAATGGTAACATCAATGGTTCAATGGACATCACAAGTAGGAATGGTACCATTGAAGGTTCAATGGACACCAAGGGTAAGAATGGTGGCATCGATGGTTCAATGGACACCAAGACTAAGAGTGGTGGCATCGATGGTTCAATGGACCCCAAAACTAAGAATGGTGGCATCGATGGTTCAATGGATACCAAGACTAAGACTAAGAATGGTGGCATTGATGGTTCAATGGACACCAAGAAACTAAGAATGGTGGCATCGATGGTTCAATGGATACCAAGACTAAGACTAAGAATGGTGGCATTGATGGTTCAATGGACACCAAGACTAGGAATGGTGGCATCGATGGTTTACTAGACATGAAGAATATGAATGGTAACATCGATGGTTCAATAGACTCCAAGGGTAGGAATTGTGGCATCGATGGTTCAATGGACACAAAAACTAGGAATGGTGGCATCGATGGTTCAATAGAAACCAAGGGTAGGAATTGTGGCATTGATGGTTCAATGGACACTAATGGGAGAATTGGGGGCATTGATGGTTCAATGGACACCAAGGGTTGGAATGGTGACATCAATGGTTCAATGGACATCACAAGTAGGAATGGTATCATTGATGGTTCAATGGACACCAAGGGTAAGAATGGTGGCATCGATGGTTCAATGGACACCAAAACTAGGAATGGTAACATCAATGGTTCAATGGACATCACAAGTAGGAATGGTACCATTGAAGGTTCAATGAACACCAAGGGTAAGAATGGCGGCATCAATGGCTCAATGGACACCAAGACTAAGACTAAGAATGGTGGCATCGATGGTTCAATGGACACCAAGACTAAGACTAAGAATGGTGGCATCGATGGTTCAATGGACACCAAGACTAAGACTAAGAATGGTGGCATCGATGGTTCAATGGACACCAAGACTAAGACTAAGAATGGTGGCATCGATGGTTCAATGGACACCAAGACTAAGACTAAGAATGGTGGCATCGATGGTTCAATGGACACTAATGGGAGAATTGGGGGCATTGATCGTTCAGTGGACACCAAGGGTCGGAATGGTGACATCAATGGTTCAATGGACATCACAAGTAGGAATGGTATCATGGATGGTTCAATGGACACCAAGGGTAGGAATGGTGGCATAGATTGTTCAATGGACACAAATGGGTTTGGGATATAAGGTTTGCTTCAAGGGAAAGTCGGTTAGATCAGGCATCGTTTGGAAATCCTGTTCAAAGGGTCTTATTCTTATAGAGATTTTTAGCATTTTGCTGTGGTCTAGCACCTTCTGGATTATCTTTGCAACCTGTTGATTCCTGCCTGGATAAATACTGCCTTGGATTGTTTTTATATCTTTTGTGGACATTGCTTTGAATTACTGCATTTTACTGATCTTTTACAATTTGAAATTTTCCTATTTTTACAAGCATTTCTTTCTACTGGCTTTTTTTTTACTCAACTTCAATAAAAAAGATTGGTTTTTCACTCAACGTGTGATGTGTTTAAAGTCAGAGGGTATCGTGTCTGTTCTGGAGTGCAACCTTCCTAATGCCACAACCCCTTAATACAGTTCCTCATGTTGTGGTGACCCACAGCCATAACATTATTTTTGTTGCTACTTCATAACTGTCATTTTGCTACTGCTTTTTGCTAAATTTGGCACAAATACCCAATACCTCCAAATTTGAATACTGGTGGGGTTGGGGGCGGGTTTCGTATTCCTGACCACACAAAACCAGAAAATAAGGTCATGACATGAAACAGATTTTTGGCATTTCACACACCTCTACTAACTAGAATTTCCCTCATATACCCGGGTGGATCAGGATGCAAAAGGCATTTGTTATGGAGGATTAAGCATGGAAAAGAAAGGAATTCCTGTTGGGAATCAGCCTCTGATTGTGTTTCAGGATCCTGATCTGGGAAATGATGAGGGAAATGATGTTGCCAAGGCTGAGGTACAAGATGGAGATGGTTTGGTCAATGATTTTCATACAGACAATGACAGAGAGGGCTCAGTGCAAAGGGCAGTTTCTCATGAGAATATCCCTGCTGGGCCTAGCAATGGTGGTTCACTCCCTCTCTCTGTGAGCTCTCAAGATTTGGGTTTGGAAAACAATCTGACACCTGGGAATTTTAATGAGCAGCCAGATAGGGAGCTGAAGAATAGGCGGCTGGAGATCAGCCAGGATCGACAGCAAACTCAGTGTTTACGTTGCTCTGAAAGGCTTCGTCTGATAAGGGGGAAATGTGGGGGAAAGCGAAACCAATTTCTCAGTTTTGGGATATAAGGTTTGCTTCAAGGGGAAACCTGTTAGATCAGGCAACATTTGGAAATCAAGTTCCTGTGCCATGGAAATCCTGTTCAAGGGGTCTTGTTTCTGTGAAGTTTTTCAGGCTTTTGGATTGTCTTTGCATCCTATTGATTCCTGTCTGGATAAATGCTGTCTTGGATTGATTTTATTTCTTGTGTGGACATTGCTTTGTGTTACTGTTTTTTTATGGACTTATTACTTTTTGGAACCTTATTTTCTTACAAGCATTTATTCCTTCTGGCTATTTACTAAGCTTCAATAAAAGAAGATTTGTTTCTTCACTCTTTTTTCATCTTCGCCAGGCAAGGAAATTGGCATCCGACCTTTCGGTAGAAGCATTGGCAATGGTAATCCACGCAACAGTCACCACTAGGTTGGATTATTGCAACGCCTTATATGCTGGCCTTCCGAAGTCAACGACCCAGAAGATTCGGATGGTTCAAAATGTGGCAGCCATGCTGCTAGCGGGATCATCTATAAGATCCCATATTACACCAATTCTGCAACAACTGCATTGGCTACCAATAGAACATTGGATCTCTTACAAGATCCTGATCCTGACATTTAGAGCTCAAAATGGCCAAGGACCTTTATATCTTAGGGACCGCCTCATTCCTTTTCCCCATCAGTGGTCACCTCGATCCACCCAGGAAAATCTCCTATACATACCGGGTCCTAGGGAGGCACATTTGGAAGCTACAAGGCGTAGAGCTTTTTCGACCTATGCTCCAATTCTGTGGAACTCATTGCCTCCATATATTAGAGCAATGTCGGAGTTGCGACCTTTTGTAAAGGCGCTGAAGACTTGGCTGTTTGGTTGTGCATTTAAGTAATGGGATCAAATTTTGCCATAGTCACTGCTGAATGTTTTTATATTGAATGTTTTTATGTTAAATGTTTTTATATTGAATGTTTTATATTGTGTATAAGCTATTTTAAATTGTAAGTCGCTCGGAGCACCTTGGTGGAGAGCGACTAATTAAGAAATAAAGTGATGATGATGATGATGTAGTGTGTTTTAAAGTCAGAGGGCTTTCTCTTGACAACAATTCCATAGCTACACTTCTGTTGCTGAAGACTAGGTATCAGGGACACTGTTGGCAATCTTATTCAATATTCATCCTCATCAAGGCGGCACTTACTCAATATTCATCCGCATCACCATGCCGAGGGATGAGTAGCCAGCCAGGGCAAAGTTGTCTCGATATCGGCCCAGCCGAATGGAGTCCAACCAATCTTCGACAGTAGAGCAGCTGGTGAATTCGATGCAGCCTCTCTCCGAAAGGGTTTGGGTGAATCTGTAAAGTGGAGACGTGAACGGAAAAGTGAACGGAACAGCAACACCGACCAACACACCGAAATGCTACATTTTCTGTCCCAATTTCATGTGTCCCCCATTTTGTTTCGTGTTTCTAAACTATCTTTTTAAAAATGTTTTCGTTAGTTTTATTTTACAAGTTTACATTAAAAACACAAAAGCTCCAGTCAGAAATCAAAAAAGTACAAGACACCCAAGCAGATCAAAATGAAATATTAAGAGAAGAAATGAATGGAATAAAAAGGAAATGAAAGAAGAATTGAAAATATTGCTCAAAGACGAGATGAAAACTATGGGAGATGATATAGAGAAATTAAAACATGAAAACAAAGAATTATCGAAAGAAAATAAGATTATGAAAACAGAACATGGAATCATGAAAAAGAAAATTGAAATTTTAGAGGGGAAAATAACCGCAATTCAATCCCAACAGGAACTCTTAGAAGCAAAGGAAAAAGAGCATCAACTAAGATTTAGAAACATAAGAGAAGAGGAAGAAGAAAACATCAAAGAGGCCATTGTGGAAATGATAACAAACATCACAAAAAAAAACCAAAACAGAAATTGAAATAAATTTAGACAGGGTGTTTAGAATTCAAAAAAGATACTCAAAAAAATTCAGAACTCCAAGAGACGTAATAGTTTGCTGATCTAAAAAAACAATGAGGGACGAGATTCTGATAGAAAATACAAAAGAACCAACATATCACAAAGGAAATAAAATAGTAATATTAAAGGAAATACCATCTACAATACTAGAGAGAAGACGGAAATATTATTTTTTGACAGATGAATTAAAAAAAGACATGTAAAATTTAAATGGGAAAAAAAGGAGGGCATAGTGATGACATGGAGAGAAACCAAATACTGGCTCACATCTGAACCAAAAGCCAGAGCATTTTGGAAAAAAATTATCAAAAAAGAAGTATACAAGGAAGAAGAGAAGAATAGAGAAGAGGAGAGAAAAACCAACACATCACAAAAAAACAGACGATGACGATGAAATACCAGGGCCATCAGGAATCCGCGAGAATGAGTATATGATATATAATGAGTATATGAGGAATATGATAATAGAAGAAAAAGAGACAGAGAAAAATCACCTAATGATTATGCCCCCCAAATGCATGAAACAAAGAAAAATACGGACTTAGATGAAAAAAATAAGGACAATTATGGGCTGGAAATTTAAAATATACAGCAATAATGTAAATGGTCTCAACTCCCCCAATAAAAGAAAGAAAATCTGGTACCAACTAAAAAAAAGTAGCTATGATGGGATTTCATTACAGGAAACACATATTACATACAAGCACATTACCAATCTAGAGCAAAAAACACTGGGAAAAATGTGTTACACAGCCGGACCCCAAAAAAATGGTATGGTGATGTACATAAACGAAAAAATATCATCAAAACTACTGTAGGGCTGGGCGGTTTTGTTTCGTAATTTCGTAATTCGTTAAAAATTCGTTATTTTTTTGTTACGAAGCGATAACGAACCATTCAGGAGCATCTAAAAAACGAAACGAATTTTTCAATTCGTTTCGTAATTGCTTCGTATTCGTTTCGTATTTGTTTTGAAATCGTTTCGAAATCGTTTCGTTATTATTTCCGCATGTCTGGGGCAAGTTTTATAGCTGTTGTTTGTTTAATCAGTGAAAAAAAATATAAATATCACACCAACAGTCAACAACAGAGGGAGAGGGAAGCTTCAGAAGTTCCCCCTGTCCCATATGGAGGTTTTTTAGCGTATTGCGCGGTCGCGTCCGCCATTAACGAATCGATTCGTATTCGTTCCGTATTCGTTTCGTATTGTTTCGTAATTTTACGAAATTTCGTAAATATCGAACTTTTTTAAAGAAAAATTTCGGAATTCTTTTAAATATCGAAACGCAAAAAACCCCAAAAACGAATCGAGTTTAGAAACAAATTTTTCTGTGGTTGCCCAGCCCTAAAAACTAGCATTCAGAGATCAGGAAGGGAGAATACTAGGGATAAAATTAGAGATAGAAGGCAAAGCTATTTTGATTTGCACCATATACGTCCCAAATACAACAAAAGACAACTTTATTAATAAATTTTAAAACATACATAGAAGAACAAGAATACGAAGAATTGATAATTATGGGAGATTTCAATGGATTGTTAGATCCAGCAAGAGATAAATGTACAAATAAGACAAAGGCAAACCCAAAGCGATTAGGAGTACTACTTAGAAACTTTACAAACTTAAAGGAAGATTTAGTATTACATAACATACTAACAATTAACTAACATACTAACATAACAATTCCTAGACGACACAGCCGGACTAGATCCCTTCCAGTCCGGCTTCCGTGCGGGCACGGGACAGAGACTGTGCTGGTCTCCATCACGGATCACCTTCGATGCCAGCTTGACCAGGGCGGGTCAGCGCTGCTTGTGTTATTGGATCTCACAGCAGCATTTGACACAGTCGACCACCATCTTTTGACCCACCGCCTTGCTGTTGCTGGAGTGAGTCAGGGGGAGAGCTTTAAACTGGCTGTCCTCCTTTCTTCACAACCGTGGACAGCGAGTGGAGAGGGGAGGCCTGGTCTCTGAGAGGTCCCCTCTCTCTTGTGGGGTTCCTCAGGGGGCCATTCTCTCCCCTCTGTTGTTTAACATCTATATGCGACCACTTGCTCAGCTGGTTCGAGGTTTTGGGCTTGAGTGTTATCAGTGCCGATGACACTCAGCTGGTGCTGAAGATGGAAGGCCGACCGGACTCTGTACCCGATTGTTTCCATCAGTGCCTCGAGGCCGTTACTGGATGGCTGCGTGCCAGCAGGTTGAGGGTGAATCCAGCAAAGACGGAGATCCTATGGCTGGGTGGACCAGGCAGTGGGGACATCCATCTGCCCACCCTGGATGGCGAGGCGTTACGCCCGTCATCATTGGTAAAGAGTCTGGGAGTCCTTTTGGACCCTCTGCTGACAATGGAGGCCCAGGTCTCCGCCATGAGCAGAACCGCCTTCTTTCACCTGCGGCAGGCTAGACGGCTGGCCCCCTACCTGTCCAGGGACGACCTAGCTATGGTGATCCAGGCTACGGCCATCTCAAGACTGGACTACTGCAACGCCCTCTACATTGGCCTCCCTCTGTCGGTGATCCGGAAGCTCAAGTTGGTACAAAATGCAGCTGCTCGGCTTCTTGCGGGAATTCCGATGAGATGCCACATAACACCAATCTTACTACAGCTGCATTGGTTACCAATTGAGCACCGGATCACTTTCAAAGTGATGGTACTCACCTTTAAGGCCTTGCATGGTCTGGGGCCGATGTATCTGAGGGACCGTCTCACCCCCTACCAACCCCAGATATCCCTCCGTTCAGAGGACCAAGATCTCTTGGAGGTCCCCAGTGTCAAGACCTTGTGTTTAGTGGCAACCAGACGCAGAGCCTTCACAGCAGTGGCACCATCAGTCTGGAATGCTCTGCCACCTGAGGTTCGTGCCCTGCGGGACTTACCAGCTTTCTGCAGGGCATGTAAGACATATCTATTTCGACAAACCTTTGATCTTTGATATTGCTGTTTTTAAATTGTTTTAAATTGTTTTTAAATTGTGTTCGATTTTAGCCTGTTCTTGTAAGCTGCTCCGAGCCCCAAGGGAGTGGCGGCATAGAAGTTTAAAAAAGAAAAGAAGAAAGAAGAAGAAGAACATATGGAGACACCAACATGAAAGTGAAAAAGACTTTACTTTTTTTTCTAACAGACATAAAACCTGGTACCGTATCGATATGATTTGGGGAACTAAAACATTATTGTCAAACATAACGAAATCCAGGATATTGCCGATGTTAAATTCTGACCATTCTCCATTAGAAATAACATTAAATATACAACAAGAGAAAGACAAGTCCTTTATCTGGAAACTATCTTGAGGGGTCCATTTTGTTTCGAATTCGAAATTCCGAAATTTCTGTATTATTTTGTTTTGTTATTCTGCTCATTTGAGCCAATGGGATCACATCTGAGGATTGTTTCTCTGTCGTTTCTATGGCTATCTGGATGAAACTTGCTATACTTGTAGGACACTGCAATAATAATAATCTATATAAATAAAAATGTAATGTTCGTTTGTGGTATTCACAGAACTCAAAAACCACTGGACGAATTGACACCAAATTTGGACACAAGGCACTTATCAGGCCAATGTATGTTCTTCACTCAAAAAATTGATTTTGTCATTTGGGAGTTGTAATTGCTGGGATTTATAGTTCACCTACAATCAAAAAGCATTCTGAACCTCACCAGTGATGGAATTGAACCAAACTTGGCACACAGTTCTCCCATGACTAACAGAAAATGCTGGAAGGGTTTGGTGGGCAGTAGGGCTGGGCAACCACGGAAAAATTTGTTTCTAAACTCGATTTGTTTTTAGGGGGTTTTTGCGTTTCGATTTTTAAAAGAATTCCGAAATTTTTCTTTAAAAAAGTTCAAAATATACGAAATTTCGGAAATTACGAAACAATTACGAAACAATTACGAATTGATTTGTTAATGGCGGACGCGACCGTGCAATACGCTAAAAAACCCTCCAAATGGGACAGGGGGAACTTCTGAAGCTTCCCTCTCCCTCTGTTGTTGACTGTTGGTGTGATAATTATATTTTTTTCACTGATAAAACAAACAGCAACCCTAAAACTTGCACCAGACATGGGGAAATAATAACAAAACGATTTCGAAACGATTTCGAAACGATTTTGAAACAATTACGAAACAATTACGAAACGAATTGAAAAATTCGTTTCGTTTTTTTGTTGCTCCTGAATATCGCTTCGTTATAAAAAAAATGAATTAATAACGAATTACGAAATTAACGAACGAAACCGCCCAGCCCTAGTGGGCAGTGTCCTTTGGTTTTGGAGTTATAGTTCACCTACATCCAGAGATCACTGTGGACTCAAACAATGATGGATCTGGACCAAACTTTACACAAATACTCAATATGTCCAAATGTGAACACTGGTGGAGTTTGGGAAAAATAGAAACTTGACATTTGGGAGTTGTAGTTGCTGGGATTTATAGTAAACCTACAATCACAGAGCATTCTGAACCACACCAACGATAGAATTCGACCAAACCTCTCACATAGAACTCCCATGTGGGCCACAGCAACGCATGGCAGGGGACGGCTAGTGTCACAATATAATCAGAACATAATTCCTCCAAAGTTTCAGAAATCCAATCATCCAATCAACAATTACATTACTTCATGCTTGTTGCTTGGGACTATGTCATAGTTGTATCAAACCATGAGTTATGTTGGCCACTAAGATTGGTCTCATCATCCTGATGTCACAATTGATCATTGGTTATGCTTAACTTGTATATGGATTGTAACAGGATGTCCTCCTTCCCATAGGACCATCTCCACATTGGTTGACCTACCGGCTGACGGTAGCCGTACACTTCAGGTTCTGTGGGCTGCGGATGAGCTTGTCCAGGATGCCGATGATCTGGGAGAAGCGCGGCCTCTCATTGCGGTCCTTCTGCCAGCAGTCCAGCATGAGCTGATGGAGAGCGGTGGGGCAGCCCATGGGGGCCGGAAGCCGATAGCCTTCCTCCACAGACTGGATGACCTGTGACAGTGGAGTCCACCAACACAAGAGTGAGATCAAGTCAGCTCTTTCAGTCTACATCCTCACCTTTGCTTTTCCTTTTTAATCTGAGTCGAAAAATTTGAGTGTCAGCAAACCCCTCTTATTTCTTTTCCCCACTTTTGGAAGTTGCTGGAAGTCTAAGAGGCCGAGTTATAACAGTCAGCTCTCCGCAGTTGCGAGATTGCAGATTTGATCACACTATGTAACACAATTTTTGTTCCTGAGTTATAAATATTAGGGCTGGGTAACCACGGAAAAATTTGTTTCTAAACTTGATTCGTTTCCAGGGGGCGCTAGTGTTTCCAAATTCTAAATACTTCCAAAATTTTGAGATTTCAAAATTTCGTTATTTACAAAATTTCGTTAATTTCGAATCGATTCGTTAATGGCGGACGCGATTGCGCAATATGCTAAAAAAAACCTCCAAATGGGACAGGGGGAACTTCTGAAGCTTCCCTCTCCCTCTGTTGTTGACTGTTGGTGTGATAAAACAAACAACTATAAAACTTGCACCAGATATGCAAAAATAATTACGAAATAATTACGAAATAATTACGAAATAATTACGAAATAATTACAAAAAAATAACGAAACAATAACAAAATAAATTGAAAAAAATTGTTTCGAATCTAATTTACTCCTCACACTATTCCTGCATGGCTCAATATCGGATCGTAAGCTAATTTAAATACGAATTAATAACGAATTACGAAATTAACGAACGAAACCGCCCAGCCCAAATAAATATAATTTCTTAATTGGTTCTATCAGTAGGGGGGAGTAGTTAGAGCCACGAAGTTGGACAGATGCCACTTCTATTATTATTATTATTATTATTATTATTATTATTATTATTATATTGGGATATTTGAAAATTTTGTTTGTAAATATGTCCTTGTCCTCCTCCTGCTCAAGACCTTGGCTTCACCTCTTCCCAAACGGGCAACAGCCTGTGGAACTCCGTGCCCATCTTGTTCAGCAAAAGCAAGCCAGGGTTGTCAGGCAGTGGGGAAACTAACACAATTTGACACTGTGGGCTCAACAAATCCTGGGGATTTCTAGCTCCCTAACCGAAAGCAATTGTCTCTCTGGAGGCGCTAATTTGCAGTATTGATCTTGGCACTGTGTATATAATTCATCTCCACCGTCAGCTTGTCGGGAGCTGACTTTGCTTGCCCTGATTAGATCCTCTCTTCATTTGATTAGATCTAAGATTAGCTTGACTAGATCTTAGTCTTCCTTTGATTGGATCTGGTGTATACATATGTGTGTGTGTATATCTATATAAATAAAAATGTAATATTCATTTGTGGGATTAACACAACTCAAAAACCACGGGACGGATTGACACCAAAATTGGACACAAGACACCTGTCAGGTCAACGAGTGACCATCACTCATAAAAACACTGAAAAACACAACAGAAGAGGCTTAAAAGGCCAAAAATCAACACATGTGCAAAATAAAAATATAATGTTCATTTGTGGGATCAACACAACTCAAAAACCACTGGAAGGATTGACACCAAATTTGGACAGAATACACCTCTCAGGCCAACAAGTGATCATCACTCATAAAAACACTGAAAAATACAGTGGAAAAGACTTAAAAAAGCAAAAAATCCCGCATGTGCTCAATAACAATGTAATGTTCATTTGTGGGATTAACACAACTCAAAAACCACTGGACAGATTGACACCAAAATTGGACACAAGACACCTCTCAGGCCAACGAGTGACTATCACTCATAAAAACACTGAAAAACACAGCAGAAGAGACCTTAAAAGCCAAAAAACCAACACGTGCAAAATAAAAATGTAACGTTCG